GCGGCGGAAAAGAAAAGGTTAGAAGCGTTCGAAATGTGGTGTTATAGGCGGATGATGAGGATATCGTGGGTAGAAAAGGTTAGAAATGAAGAGGTATTGGAAAGAATAGGAAAACACACGACTCTATCGAAGTCAATAATAAATAGGCTAGATGGGTTGTTAGTGCACCTTCTCATGCATCATAGTTAGGGACATATAAGCAGAAACAGGAGTTAAGAGAAATGGAGGTGGACCTAGATTATATTACCGTTCATAAATAGTTAACGATGTGGGATATGTTATAGTTTTAGGAAAATACGAAGATTAGCTCAGGATATGAAAGAGTGGAGATGATGAGTGTTCAACCACTCTTAGGACTGACAACCCTCTAATGATGATTATGATGATAAAATCCTTCTCAATAGGTATAGCTATCTTTGCATTTCTATTTCTGTTAATAACAAAAAGCATTTACTGGTTGCTTTCATTCTTTACAGTGATTAATTAAATTCACCATAGAAGTAATATAAAAATATACAGGAAACGATAGTTCAATTTCAATTCAATATTCGCAGATGTTAGAACGGAAAGAGCGGTAGAAATATAAAACAAAGAATAGCGCAAAATCGAACTGTTTTTAACAAAAATAAATCACTTTTGTACTCGAAATTTTTCACTTTGAAAATTCTAAAAGGTATTACTAAATTATTATATCGTATCTGGAGTATAGGTTTGTAAGGGTGTAAATCTTAAACGATGGGTGCTGCATAAAAGGGTAGAAGCATTTGAGAACGATAAAAAATACATATTTGAAGCAGGAACAAGAGTTAAGAGGAGAAGAGGTAGACCAAGAGGAGTAGAGGTAGACCTAGACTAGATTACTGTTTACAAATTGTTGAAAATGTAGGTTTCTCCAGTTTTTGAAAAATACGAAACTATAAATAGCGGATGAAAAATTCAAAAAGAAAGTTATTACATGTGTTTCGAATAAAGTTAGTATGTATTTACATGATGCATAAGTAGTTATGAATTTGTCAGCATGAAGCTTTAAACGACATTATCATTTTATGTACAATACGCATACCTTGCTACAATTATTGTTTGCTAATACTTATTACGACAGAACATAAAGCACATATAAGTTACTTGGTAAACTGACTCACCTGACTATTGTTCGTCAGTCTAAAATATATGTGAGCTAGATAAATAGTAAATACGGATCGTCTCTTTCTAAAGCTCTGAAAGTCCTTATTTAGGAACTAATAAGTGGATACCTATTATACATTTTTGTACGTTTTACTCTAAAATTTTTCAAATCTACAATACCTGATGTTTATTTAAACCAGTTTCTTGAGATTAACTAACAATATTAAGTATTTTACTTATTTTAAAAAGAATTAAATAATAATCGTTGTAAAATGATACTCGGATCATTTTTTGAAAGCTCTACATTTTAACAAATTAAATCTTACTTTTTGGGCTAGAAGTTGTAAAAATAGTTAGAATTTATTGTAGAATGTTATATTATACGTATACCCACTTACAAATAAAGATATATAAATATCTCAAGAGTACATAGAATTTGTACATTTAGAAACAGCTTTGAAATAATGTTAAAAGGGGCAAGATGTTAAATATACTTAAAAATGTAGGGATCAGTTACAGAGATAGAAGAGTGTTACTTAGTTTGTAAGAGCAACAGACAGTTATAGAGCTGAGGCTACAACGTAGGAAACTAAATATTAGGAAGGGAGACAGGCAGGGATGCACACTGTTACCGCTACTTTTTAATCTATACATTGAAGACGCGATCAACATCATTAAAGAAAGTGCAACTGTACGGATAGATATACAGGGGCAAAAGATTAGTATGCTTACATAAATATAAAGATAGGAGACGAAAATTGGAAGAATTGACTGGTTTTAGGTATCTAGGAAGTTTTTATTTCTATGGAAACAAATTCGAAAAATATTGTTAAATGTGTATGTTTGTAGTGCGGCGCTGTACGGGTGCGAAACATGGACAGTGGGTGCTGCGGAAGAAAAAGGTTAAAAGCGTTCGAAATGTAGTGTTACAAACGAACGATGAGGATACCGTGGATAGAGAAAGTTAGAAATGAAGAGGTAGTAGAAAGAATAGGAAAACAGAGGACTCTATGGAAGTCAATAAGAAATAAGCGAGATAGGTTAGTAGGACTTAGCTTAGGGTCTAGGAGAGGGTTGTTGCCGAACTCTAATACTTGATCATTTGCTAGTGTTTTGTTAAGTGAAATTGTCTATTTTATTATTATTTTATCTAAAAATTTCCCTTCTTTTAGATGATCTAACAGTTTATATTAATGCATGATGAAAACATTATAAGGGCTTATAAACTTATTAGATATTATAACTTATAGTTTCTGTAAGTTTTAACTTTACACGAGTCTCTTCAACTAGAATTCAAGACTATTTGTGCATGTAGCTTTTACCAGCGACATCAGTTGCTTAAAACTAACTAGGAGTAGCTATTTATAATAAATACAATCGCTGTAACCAATAAATAATTAAAAGAAGTAGATGGCTACCTTTAACCGTTTGAAAGATATAAACAGACAGACAAAAAAATTTTTAACCTGCCGCTGTCCTCTTTGGGACCTAATGACTCGCAGGTTTTTTAATTGTGGGTATTTTTGAATTAAGTTGTGCACCGTTGCTGGTTTTCTTACAATTAGTAGGTAAAGATGAAACTTTATTCTTACAATATCTTCAGCCTTAATTCTACCTCTAGTCTACCTCTTCCTCTCTTAACTCCTGTATCTGCTTCTGTGGTATATATATCTAACTAGCTCGTCATATCTGAGAAATGCCTTCCAACCCATCCCGTCAATTTCTTATTAATCTTTGTAGCTCTGTTACCCTTTTCTAATACTTCCTCATTTCTACGCACAGAATTTTTAACATCTTTCAAAAACAAAAAAATATATTTTGAATAAAAATACCCTATTATTTTGTTGTTATTTGGAAAAAAAACCCAAAACAAACTTCAGTTTTATACTTCTTTTATCTGGGCTAATAATTTTCACCTGATCGCAGCGGAGTAACGGTCTTTTACCAATAAGCAAAAATGAAATTAAAAGAAAAATATTTGAACAGATATTTTGATATTATAGACATTCAGTTCAATATTAATTAAATATGTGTAAGCTGCAAAAATGATTTGTCTTCTGACTATTTTCGCTGGTGCAGATAGACAACTTAAATATTTAAAAATTTAGTTACACCTTGATAATAAAATGAATTCTTGGTGTTATATTACAAAAAGTCACCTGATTCTTTTCAATGCCACCGCCGATCAAATTTCCCCTCCGAATCGATTTTATTGCCAGGTACTGGTAGCAAACAAAAACTTCCTCTCGACACACACATCCAACGAAACAAACAACAATTACTAATAAAACTTGGAAATGTAAAATCAATGGAACAACACCTTCCGACTGACTCTACAGTCAACTAGCAACTACAAAAAACACACGCACATGCA